TTACATTGTTGTTTGATTTATCATCTACGGGTTTATGTCGAATTAATTTGATGGCCTGCTCCCAGTTGGCTTGTTAGCTCAATTGGTAGAGCGCTGCACTAGTATCGCAGAGGTCAGTGGTTCGAATCCCGTACAGGCCTGAATTTTTTTCAGGTCTGATTTTCACTATTGCTTAAATAGTGCTTTACTGCGAAGGATCGTGCACATATACGTTTCATAACCGCAGTTCATATATATGTATTTCATAGGATGTTTTTGAAACCATTGACTGACCTTATTTTCTAATAGGACATAAAAGATAATGTCATACCCTATAGATTTTTTGGGGCGGCCACATAAAAGAAGGATCAGTGATGACGGTAGCGAGTGATTTGCATGTGCTAAGATCTATTATTTGTATTTGCGTTCTTCAGCGTAAGGCTTTAACACCAAAGCAACTGCATGAAGCCTTCAAATGAAGGAATATATTTCGTTGAACATCAATCAGATCTTTTAATAGCGGACTGACTTGAAACCACTGTAAACAGCTAATAGGTAAGTTGTAACAATATCGATTTCTGGTATAATTTGAGATTATTCCTTGAAATTAAAGATAAGCTTAAACACAAATTTATTTGAAATGGGTTGAACCAATTTCCCAAATTATTGCTATCTTAATGTTTTTAATTTCTTCACTAAAATATGAGTCGGAGTAAACAGAGGGCGTCCTTAAGTTAATTGGAAAAAATTGATGGGGAAATGAAAGTTTTCCTTCATGAAAATAAATGCTCAGACACAATTTCAAAATATCTCAAGAATGATCGGCTCTTTTAATTCGACCTAAGCGTATTCGAGTCTGGTGGTGTTTGTGTCGGTGAGAAGTGCCCTCTTAAACAACCCAGGTTAAACGTGAACAGGCCATTTCTATATATATGCCATAATCGCTAACAGTTTAACACAAAATTTTTTGGGGTTAAATGGACTTTTTTCTCCCAGAAAGAACAGATAACAATCACTCTACTTACAAAGTAAGACCGCCATCGAATTAGGAAATTATCAACTGCTTACAATATTTTAAATGAACGGCTTATGCTAAAATATTATTTCCAACATTTTAATAAACACACATATTAGGAGATTTTTTGCTAGTTGCCCATTTTGTCTGTTGACACCAGTAACTTTATCTTAATGAATACCCCATATTTTGCTTCTGATTTTCCTGGATGTTGTGAGTATAAAAAAACCTGTTATAACAGGTGTTATTTTGGCAGCAATTATCATCATAACACTTTGCTGTGCCCAAGATTATGGCAATTAGATCATTAACAGGAAGTCACTATTAAATAGTGTATGGCAAAATGTATCAAATCATAAGGTATTTCCGAATTAAGATTCAGAGAAAATTGTCAAAACAGGTTTGATTGTTTAGTATTTCAAGTACTTTTTATCAAGAAATTCAAACTGAAGTTAAACGTGCAGACGGATTCCAAATGTGAAAAACTTTTTGTTAAGTTTATCGTAGTTATTAGTTGTTTTAAACGCTTTAGTCAGTACCTGTTGTTATCCTAGACTCTTAAAGTTATCATTCTTTATTTACTAACATTCAAGACGGAAAGAGCCCTAATTCTGAAATGAAAGGGTCGAGAAAGCCAACAAGGTGTATAAAGTAGTATTAATAGGTTTCATTGAAACAGTTCAGCAGAGAAAAAAAAATGAAGGCCATCGCACAGCTGTTCCTTCTTCTGGTTATCTCCACCCTTGTCACTGGAAAAAACCTTCCATGGACAGCTAATGATTCTGGGCGTCCTGTGGATGATGATTTTGATCAAGATGAATTCGAAAACGATCCTGCTAGTAGAGCCGGGGGGGAGTGGGATACTCCAAATGACGCGGAGAACGATTCTGGCAGCACCTAAAGAGGTCAGACTTATTGAATGACTCACTTTTTGTTGTTGTTCTCTTTTTTATCGGTCTGCCGGCTTTTAGAATTTGGAACATCGAAATAATCGTGGTAAACTCGTGGATATACAATTATCTCACTAAAAGATAACGATTCTTTGATTCTAAGAAACCGCGGAACCCAGCCGTTAAAGGTTAAAGTCTTGCTTAGGATTATTTGTAGGAATAAAGTTTTCAACTCTAATAAGTTATTAATTTTGTGTTACTTTCCAGGAAAAGCAACAAGCCCAGGATTTCGAGGATTTGTAGTATTCGAAGATTTTTTGCATCTGCAGGAAATACTTATAGAGAACACACTGAAGGGAGAATTTGTTAATATGGTCCTAAACTATACGATTCAGAATAAATGGGAAAAAATTCAACTCTGATGGTTCATTGTTTTATTCACTGACATTTAATCTTTGATGATAAAAATTGCGATATTATCCTATCATTTTCATATCAATTTATTCTTCACTGCCCAGTAAGAAGGAAAGTCCATCCTTGCAGCTTCCCTCGACCTGCAATAAAACAATCAATGCAAGAGCATTCAAAATTTTTCCTCCAGTAAGTTGTCCTATTTTCACCTAACAATTTTTCAAAAGGAGGAGTTCTGTCTTCAAGGAGTCATTAACTTAAACCCGGCCGCGCATGGCTAATATTACTGAAACAATAGCAGCAAATTAAACACAACAGAAACAACGACAAAGGCACTGAATTTGACAAATAAAACCTACCAAAACGTATGAAGCAGGTTCCCTAACTGCAGGTGCCGCATGTTTTAGGGCACCAGTAGTTTTTGATGTGATCCTAATTGCATCCGTCTGTCTAATAACGGCAATTTGAATCCAAGTCAACACAATCCTTCGAAATTAAGTGCTCTTCATTGTAACTTACTCATTCAATTTGAAACTATAGAAAATGTCCACGTTGAAGTACATGAAGCTTCTCCTAAAATTCAATTTCTCCCAATTTTTTTTCTCAGCCAGCTAGCAGCTTAATGAGTAAGTCAATTTTGTACTCTTTCATTTTTATTTATTTTTTTTATTAAAGGCATTTTTAACAGTGACCGCTTTTATGCTGTTTTTTTTTTTTTTTATTTCACGGAAGAAAAATGTTTACCACTCACTTGATTTTCCACCACCCACATCACCGCCTAATATAGGTAAAAGAAATAACAATAAGACATTTTCCATAATATTTTACCTCCCAAGTTCTAGGTGCAAAGACCGTCACTCAGATCGAAAATCGAAAATTGTTGAGTGATAATCTAAGAAATTTTATTACAACAATTATTTCTCTCACGCATGGTTCATATTTCAGTTGAATTTAAAGTTTTTTCTCGTTCCTACGTCTTTAAAATCATGTAAATATTTGTACCATGCAAGCATACCAAAGTTTAGGTTTTCGTTTACGTATACCTAATCAAAATGAGCCCTAAAAGTGACTCCAAAGAATCCTCTTTCACAAGAACTTCAAGAAATTTTTGCAGCAAACGATCTCTAAATGATGTTGGGCATTTTGAGGATAGAAGATTGGCAGTCGAGCTGACTTTTCATTACTTACTCATTTTGCCTTTTACCCAGTCTACGTAAGATCCAACTCGTGCGTACACAGATTACGTCATCGTGGGGCAAGCCCTCCTGGTAACCCACGAAGTAACACCACGCAGTACCCATTTTCCGTTCTCCTTGCAAACCAGAGGCCAACCGCTGTCCCCATTACACACACTGCTTTCGGAAGCACCTGCGCATACCATGGAAGTATGGAATAATTTAAGTAGAGATTTAAGGGAAATCACGAGTACTAAGGTCTTTAAGAGACGTTTAATTAATGAACTGATTTGTAACATGAACGATTTTTGATAATAATTGTTGTTTACATATAGTAATTAAGTAATATATAAGTAATATGAAAGTATATAGTTATTAAGTTATTTATCGTATATGAGAACGATCCTTCGCAGTAAAGCACTATTTGAGCAATAGTGAAAATCAGACCTGAAAAAAATTTCAGGCCTGTACGGGACTCGAACCACTGACCTCTGCGATACTAGTGCAGCGCTCTACCAATTGAGCTAACAAGCCAACTGGGAGCAGGCCATCAAATTAATTCGATATAAACCCGTAGATGATAAATCAAACAACAACAAACATATGAAACATATGTGTGAACTGCGGTTATGAGACGTATATGAGAACGATCCTTCGCAGTAAAGCACTATTTGAGCAATAGTGAAAATCAGACCTGAAAAAAATTTCAGGCCTGTACGGGACTCGAACCACTGACCTCTGCGATACTAGTGCAGCGCTCTACCAATTGAGCTAACAAGCCAACTGGGAGCAGGCCATCAAATTAATTCGATATAAACCCGTAGATGATAAATCAAACAACAACAAACATATGAAACATATGTGTGAACTGCGGTTATGAGACGTATATGAGAACGATCCTTCGCAGTAAAGCACTATTTGAGCAATAGTGAAAATCAGACCTGAAAAAAATTTCAGGCCTGTACGGGA